TTCCCATATGTTTGGTACTAAGAGTAATGAGGTAACTACCCATATAGTTGGTACAAAGAGTATGTGCGTAACTTACCTATATGGTTGGTGCTAAGAGTAAGTACGTTACTTACCCATGAGGTTGGTACCAAGGGTAAGCGCGGTAATTACCCATATGGTTGGTACAAAGAGTAAGTGCGGAACTTACCGATATCGTTGGCACCAATAGTAAGTGCGTTGCTTACCCATGTGGTTGGTACCAAGAGTAGGTGCCCTACTTACCCATATGATTGGTACCAAGGGTAAGTGCGTTACTTACCCATGTGGTTGGTACCAAGAGTATGTGCGTTACTTACCCATATAGTTGGTACCAAGGGTAAGTGCGTAACTTTCCATATGTTTAGTACTAAGAGTAAGTGCGGTAATTACCCATATGTTTGGTACCAAGAGTAAGTGCGTTTCTTACCCATATGGTTGGTACCAAGAATAAGTGCGGTAATTACCCATATGGTTGGTAGAAAGAGTAAGTGCGAAAATTACCCATATAGTTGGTAATATGAGTAAATGCGTTACTTACCTATGTGGTTGGTACCAAGAGTAGGTGCGTTACTTAATATGGTTGGTACCAAGGGTATGTGCGTAACGTACCCATATGGATGGTACCAAGAGTAAGTGCGATACTTGCCCATGTGGTTGGTATCAAGAGTAGGTGCGTTACTTACCCATATGGTTGGTACCACGTGTAAGTGCGTAACTTTCTCTTATGGTTGGTACCAAGGGTAAGTGCGTTACTTACCCATATGGTTGGTACAAAGAGTAAGGGTGGTAATTACCCATATGGTTGGTATAAAGAGTAAGTGCGTTACTTACCCATATGGTTGGTACCAAGAGTAAGTGCGTTACTTACCCATGTCGTTGGTACCAAGAGTAGGTGCGTTACATACCCATATGGTTGGTACCAAGAGTAAGTGCGTAACTTTCCCATGTGTTTGGTACTAAGAGTAATTGCGGTAGTTACCCATATGTTTGGTACCAAGAGTTAGTGCGGTAATTACCCATATGGTTGGTACTAAGAGTAAGTGCGTTACTTACCCATGTGGTTGGTACCAAGAGTAGGTGCGTTACCTACCCATATGGTCGGTACCAAGGGTAAGTGCGTAACTTTCCCATATGTTTGGTACTAAGAGTAAATGCGTTAATTACCCATATGTTTGGTACCAAGCGTAAGTGCGAAAATTACCCATATAGTTGGTACAAAGACTAAGTGCGTAACTTACCTATATGGTTGGTACTAAGAGTAAGTACGTTACTTACCCATGTGGTTGGTACCAAGAGTAGGTGTGTTACTTAACCATATGGTAGGTACCAAGGGTAAGTGCGTAACTTTCCCATATGGTTGGTACCAAGGGTAAGTGCGAAAAATACCCATATGGTTGGTACAAATAGTAAGTGCGGTAATGACCCATATGGTTGGTAGAAAGAGTAAGTGCGTAAGTTACCCATGTGGTTTGTACCAAAAGTATGTGCGTTACTTACACATATGGTTGGTACCAAGGGTAAGTGCGTAACTTTCCCATATGTTTGGTACTTAGAGTAAATGCGTTAATTACCCATATGTTTGGTACCAAGTGTAAGTGCGGTGATTACCCATATGGTTGGTACAAAGAGTAGGTGCGTAACTTACCTATATGGTTGGCACTAAGAGTAAGTAAGTTTCTTACCCATGCGGTTGGTACCACGGGTAAGCGCGGTAATTGTCAACGGGAGTTGTGTGTTGGCCCTGTCCTCGCTTGGGCGGAGCCGACTTCGTGGTCGGGTGTGTGGGAGGTGCAGCCGACCTGCAGCAGTGGGCGCCGACTTGGGAGGGCGCCGACTTCAGGAGGTCGACTTGGGAGGTCGACCTGACAGGGCGTCGACTTGGTGACGCCGACCTGGTGAAGCCGACTAGGTGTGGTCGGCTGACAACGAGGCTGGTCGACCTGGAGTTGGTCGACCAGGGGTGTGGTCGACTTGGTCTGGTCGACCAGATGGTTGTTGTCGACCTGGGCGGTCGACGGGCACGAAGAGGAGTGGCGCCGACTTGGGGGGTGCCTACCTGGGGAGTGGCCGACTTCGTGAAGTCGGCTGGTGGTCGTCGACTTGGGCAGTCGACGAGCACATACAACTTCTGGTCGACTTTCCCCGAAGAAGTCGACGCCGACCTGGTGGTTTCCAGGTCGACCAAGTTACCCGGGCGACGAAACTCTGCGGAGGTGCGCGAAAGTCGCCCAGGTGGTTTTGGCGAAGCCGACCTCGGTGGTGGTATCCCGAGGGCGACCTGGAGGATTAGGTGCAGACGTGGGCATGTGGTCGACTTGGCGTCTGCGCTGTGCATCTGACGAGGCACAGCACGCCACTCAACTGCGACCACCTGCAAAGCGGGTGCGCTGCTGTCCTGCGGGTGCAACGCTGTGTAGCCGCCTTGTTGCAGCGTTGGCACGCCGTCGACTTGCAGTGTTGGCAGATCGCGACTTTGCACTGCTGGAGCGCGGTCGACCATGTCGTGCTGGAACGCGGTCGACCATGCTGCGCTGGCAGTCGACTTGCTTGTATGCTAGCTCCTGATGTAGACAGTATTGCTATGCTATTGTCAACCATTGTTCCCAACTTTTGCTAGTGAAACTCTTGCAATTTTGCCCCGTGAATGCACAAGTGCTAGAGAACGACAAAGGAACGAACGCAGAGATCCCTCCTACCCCGTGCCTAGCCTGTAGCCTAGCTCCCGTTGATAGAGTTATCTCCGCATGGTGCGGTGAGGGTGGATCGAACACGCGACTTACTTTTCAGTCTGGTCGGCGTAGTTGTCACTTACCTATTGTGTTTGTAGGCCGGCAGCTGTGCGAGCGTCACTATGGTTGGCGTAGTTGACACAGGTGTAGTAGACACCCTAGAGGCGCAGCTGGAGGATGCGAGGAGACGTCATGAGGCCTAGGAGTACGGAGCAATCCCCTGGGCGGTCGTAGAGGCTGGCATCCGCACCATGTGGGCGACTGAGCACCCTTCTCGACCTGCCTCTCCTCGACCGGTGAACAACGAGGGCGGCGTCGACGTGGGCGTCAACGTCGATGACCAAGTCGGCAGAAGTGCGGGAGGCACGTCGAGGCAGCGAGGTGTGATACACGCCGATGAAGTCGGCGGCGTTCAGGCGCGAGGGATGCGGTCGTCGGCGCCTGCAGGCTCCTCGCAAGGCGATGTCGGAGGTCGACAAAGCGGTTTGTCGCCGATGTCGGCGACCCATGTGACTGCCGTTGGGATAGCACCGAGCTACGGCTACTTCAAATTCACGCCGGACAAGATCTCGGTCACCCCCCTGCTGGTTGGTCGACCTCACATCTTCACGTGGAAGGAAGCCATCGAGCCCCAGCTGGAGATGGCCGGGCTGATCGGCTTCGCCAGGGGCACTGTGGCGACGCCGTCGGAGAACTACCCCGACTTGCGTGCGGAGTTTCGCGTTGTACAGCTGCTGACCTTCACGGTCATCTCGCGGTGCTGCTCGCCGGGCGTGCAGATCGCCTTGAAGCCGTGCAGGGACTGCCTTGACGCCGGCCACCAGGCTTGGCACTTCATCGAGTCGACGTACCTCGTCACCGACGACCTGTACATCGGCCAGCTTGAGGAGCAGATGACGCATCTGCGAATGGGCGACCAGGAGACGGCGACCGACTACTGCAACCGGGCACGGCGACTTCTCGGCCGTGGGTCAACTCTCCCGGCCGCCGCGACCAACTCGTCGCCGCCTGCCCTGCCGCCGCGACTGCCACGTCGCCCCCGGCCCATCGCACCGACGCGACTTCGCGTCGCCGCCGCGACCGTTCGTCGCCGCCTGCCCCTCACACCGCCGCGACTCCCTCGTCGCCTCCAGCGGCCCTCGCCGCCGCGAATTCGCTTCGCCGCCTGCCCTCCCCGCCGCCGCGACTTCGCGTCGCCGCCTGCCCTCCTCTCCGCCGCGACTTCGCGTCGCCACCTGCAATTTCAGCCGCCGCACCCACACCCTCCTCCTCCGCATTTTCCCCTCGGCCCCACCGCCTCTTTCCCGCCACAGCACCCTCCCTTCCCTCCCCCCCCTCCTCCTCCTCTTACCCCCCACTCAGCGGCCGCAGCAGCCGTCCCAGCAAACGCCGCCGTCGCGCCAACTGCAGCGGCAGCAGCACCACCTCCCCCCCCCCCTGTTTTTTCCTCCCCCCCCCCCCCCCCCCCCCCCCCTCCCCCCCCCTTCTCCCCTTGTCTGCTGCAGTGACAGCAACCGCAACCGCCGCGGCAGTCGCAGTGCCGCCACGGCAGCGGCGGACGGAGGAGCACAGCGGTAGCAGCGGCAGGATCAGCCGTCCTGACCCTCCCCCCTCCTCTCCCTCCTCCTCTCCCTCTCACCCCCCCCACTCAACGGCAGCAGCAGCGATTGTCCCAACTGCAGCAGCAGCAGCAGCACCGCCCTGCCTCCCCCCCCCCCCCTCCTCTCCCACTCCCTCCTCCTCTCCTTCTCCCCTTATATGCAGCAGCGGCAGCAACTGCACCAGCAGCGGCAGGAGAGGTGCCGGAGCAGCAGCAGCAGCAGCAGCGGCAGGAGGAGTGCAGCGGCAGCGGCAGCGGCAGCAGCAGCAGCAGGAGAAGTGCAGCGGCAGCAGCAGCAGCAGCGGCAATAACTGCACCAGCAGCGGCGGGAAAAGTGCAGGAGCGCAGCGGCAGCAACAGCAGCAGCAGCCGCCGGAGGAGTCGTGCAGCGGCAACAGCCTCACCACCCTCCCCTTGGCCGCCGCGGGTCCACCCGCCGTCGCCTTCCCCGTGACCGCCGCGGGTCCACCCGCCGTCGTCCCCCTCTTGGCCGCCGCGGGTCCACCCGCCGTCGCCTCTCATGGCTACTAACCCCCCTGCCCCTCTCCCTCCTCCCATCGACGCCTCCTCCGTCGACAAGCTGCAACTTGCTGCTGATCGCTCGGCTGTCAATTGGCACTCATTTGTCGGCAGCATTCACCGCGTCCTCCAGGATGCTTTCGTCGGACCTTACTGAGTCCTTGACGTCCTCCTTCGCCGTGCGCACACTCTCCAGCCGACACTACCAAATCATCCCTGTGACCTTCCTCCTCTCCCCGACCCTCCTGGCTCTCCTCCATCCGAGCCGGAGCTCGTCAGGGCCTCCACCTCTGACCTTCAAGCTGCCGCCGACGCCACCTTCCTCCACAACCGCCGCGAGTACCTCGTCCGCAAGGCCGCTCATGAGGTTGCTGTGCACAACTATGAGTTCGTAACGGCACAGCACGCCACTCGCCAGGCTTTGCTCGACACCTACAATACGGCCATGGCGCTCCATATCCCCAACAGCCTCGCCTGGGCCGCTGCCGACAACCGCACCTGCACCATCCTCCTTGGTGCACTCCCCGACTCCCTCATGCGCCGTTTCCAAGCCCGTGAAATGCGAACCTCCCTAATCTGGGCAGAGCTCCTGTCCGTGTTTGAGCGCCGTGACATCAGCTCTGTTGGCGTCCTCCTTCAGGAGTACTTCTCCATTACCCTCGCTACCTGTGACGGCGCAGTCGACTACGTCGGGCGCATGCAGGAAGTCGCTGATCGCCTTGCGGCTCGCCAGTGCGTCCTCCCTGAGGCGCTGCAGATCCACCGCCTGCTCTTTAACCTCACATCGGACTATGAGTCGCGTCTGCACGCCTTCACTGAGGCACACCCCCTTGCTGGCCTTGACCCGGTGGTCCAGTGGATCATTGATACGGAGGTCAAGCTCCGCACACCCATTGTCAACCTCACCACCCCTCAGTCCTCCTCCTCCCCCTCCCTCAATGCCACGCAGCCGCGCAACCCAGGTGGTCGCAGCGGCGGAGGAGGTGGTCGTGGAGGGGGCGGCGGTGGTGGTGGTGGTCGGGGCGGTGGTGGTGGCCGTGGTGGCCGTGGTGGAGGTGGTGGTGGAGGTGGTGGTGGTGGTGCTGGCAGTACCGCTGGGATCCAGGGCGCACAGACCACGGAGATACTGGCAAAATGGGATATCCACAGGCTCCCTGAGACATTCACTGGCATGGATGCAGAGGCCCGAGCCGAGGCTGGTTAGTGACATCCTAGAGCCGAACCGCCTGCCAGCCCCAGTCACAAGCCCCGATTATCCATCGCAATACCAATTCAACGTGCCGGGCAAACCAAGGCAAGCCTTACCCACACTGGTAGCTTACGAAGAAGCCCGGGGCTTCAAGATGCAGGGAGAGCTGCCAGGCCCAGGCATGATCTACGACGTGCGGAAAGGCAGATGGGAGGAACCAACGGCGAACGAAAGGGAGGCAGCGATGGGACACCTCTGGGGAGCCACGGCACACCCTGAAGTCACAGAGAGGCAGAGGAGGGCGGCGCTAGGCAGAGCCATGGACGTCAACGTGATGATGTGGCTGATAGAGACCATCCGCATTCAGCTGAAAGCAAGAGAGCTGCAGAGAGACATCGTGCTGAGTGAAAGAGTCAGGGAGCACGAGGCAGCAGCACAGCACAGGAGAGTGCTGGAAGAGATGGAGGAGAGGTACGAAGAGAGGGTAGAGGAAGGATATGCATACTTGGCGATGCCGGAAGAAGCAGGAAAAAGAGAGGAAGGGAAGCAGCAGCAGAGAAGAAAGGGGAGACGGAAAGGAAGCCCGAGGATGAATGGCAGATGGGAGAAGGACTAAGAGGCACAACGGCAGCAGCTATGCAGGAAGTGCTACGGCAGCATAGGGAAGCCTTCGCCTACACTCTGCAGGAGCTGGGCAAATGTAACACCCAGGTTATGCGCATAGAGCTGACGACGGAGGTGCCCATATACCAGAGGAAGCGGCGCATGAGCCCAGGAGGTCTAGACATGCATGTGCAAGCGACGCTGCAGGCGATCCAGGAAGCGGGTCTGACCTGCCACCCGAAGAAATGCAGTTTCGGTAACACCGCTGTGACGTACCTGGGATTCCAGGTGCAAGGAGGAACGCTAGGAATCCAGCAGGCGAAGGTAGAGGTTCTGGACCGGGTCCCAGCACCGAAGGACAGGAGCACGCTCAGAGCAGTGTGGGGTTCCTGAATCAGTACCGGAGATTTGTACCCAACTTCAGCAAAACCGCAGCCACGCTGAACCGCCTGCTAAGTGAAGATCAAGTGTGGCAGTGGGGACAAGCCGAACAGTAGGCACTCTAGGCGCTGATAGGGGCAGTGAAAACTGCTACTGTGCTGATGCTGCCGAACAAGGAAGACCCCTTCACACTCTACACCGATTGGAGCAGCGCGGGGATGGGGGCAATCCTGTGCCAAAGCGAGAGGGAGAGGAGAAAGTGGTGGCCTTCGCCAGCAGAAGCTGTAACCCTGCGGAGGCGAACTATAGTTCCTATGAAGGGGAAGAACTGGCGGCAGTTTGGGCAATCACGCACTTCAGAGTGTACCTACAGGGAAGACCATTCGAGCTGGTGACAGATCACCAGCCCTTGACATGGCTGATGACAAACCAGGCCCTGACCGGAAGGAATGCACGGTGGGCGATGCGGCTGCAGGAATATGAGTTCACAATCAGACACAGGCCGGGGAAAACTATGCAGCATGTGGATGGGCTTTCAAGGAACCCGCCGCCAGAGAGGCCCACAGCATGTCTGGTTGCACTGGCCAAGGAGATAGACGGGGAGGGAGCGCGAAGAAGCAAGAAGGGAGGGCCCGAAGACGTGTGGGATGACCAAGAGGTGCTGGACTGGGTGCAAGGGAAAACCGCAGAAGCAGAGCCAGTAACAGAGAGGGCAAGGGCAAGAGGGGCACATTACCGATGGTATCAAGGACAGCTGCAGAAGAACACCAGCAGCGGATGGAAGCTGGTGCCTAAGAAAGAAGAAAGAGAGAAGATAATCAAGCAAGTACACAGGCAGCTGGGGCATTACGGGAGCCTAAGGACGGCGCAGCTGGTGGAGACAGGATGGTGGTGGGCGGGGATGAGAAGAGACATCCGAAGCTAGGTGGAGTCATGCGAGCTGTGCAGTAGAAACAAAGCAGAGCTGGACAGGGGCAGGAACGAGCTACCCATAAGAGGACTAGGATTCATGTGGTCGTTAGACCTGGCGGGAGAGATGCCGCTGAGCAGAAAGGGAAAAAGGTACATACTCATAATGATAGAGCACGGGAGCAAGTGGGTGGAGGTGAAGGCACTACCTAGCAAGAACTCGGCCAAGATAGCTCAAGCCTTCGAGGAACATGTGCTGACCAGGTTCGGGGCATGTGGAGAGGTCCTGGCGGATCAAGGGACAGAGTTCATGGGGGAGTTTGACAAACTACTGAAAGAGACAGGCATCACGCACAGGCGAACTTCAAGGTACCACCCACAGAGTGACGGGCTAACAGAGAGATTCGTACAGACACTGAAGAGAGGCTTGAGAGCGTATGGAGAGAACTTCAAGAGGGATTGGGACGCTCGCCTGCCATGGGTAGCGGCTGGGTACAGGTTCAGTAAGCAGGTTGCACTGAGAGATCTGCCACCGTACCACCTACTCCTAGGAAGGGAGCCGATACTACCAATAGATGCGCCGAAAATGCTGACAGGAACGGTGAAAGTGGAGCGAGAAGAGGATTGGGTGGGGCTGGCAGAGGCCAGGGCAAGATACCTCAGGGAACTACTGCCCGCGGCACTGAAAAACCTGCATGTGGCACAACTCAGAGATGCACAGCGATACAAGAAGAGGAAAGAAGCAGAGGCAGGAAAGGGAGGGAAGGAGCTGGGGGCAGGAGAGGAAGTCTACCTCAAGCAGGCCAAGGGAGACATGATGGACATCGGCCTCAGTATCGAAAGGTGGAAAGTGAAGGAGGTGAAGGAGTCTGGAGTGGTGGTGCTGACCAGAGAAGGAGGAAAGGAGCGGACAGATCACCGCACGAATCTGGCCAGGTCTAGGCCAAGAAGAGGGGAGCCAGCAAGAAGTGCAGAAGAAACGAGAGCAAAAGAGAAGCAGCCAGCAGAAGAAGGGGTCCTTCGAGCAAATAACTCGAGGAGGGGGCAAGTGGACTGGGCTGCTAGGAACAAGGGGAAGAGGGAGAGAGAACTGAGAGCCTCAAAGGACAAAGGCTGAAGAGGCACCAGCAAGCAAGAGAGCAAGAGGGCCAGGGAGAGGAAGAGCAGAGAGCTGGACAGTTTCCGCAGCTGTCATGATTATAATTGTAGGAGTAGATAAACTCAATATATAGTCATGAATAGTAGGACAGAGAGGCGGGTAATAGGGGAGATAACAAATCGGTCAAGCGCGGGGAACGGAGGGAGGGAATTGAAAGAAGAGCACCGTTGGGGCAACGGTAAACGAAACAGATTACTTAAGGGCTAGGAAATTGCATTGGCTGCTTGCGTGTTTGTTTTCGCAACTGAGTTTGAGTCTGATCCTGAGCAGCCCCTAGGCCTACAAACGACACAACGAAGCCAACCCTGCAAGCTACTGGGTAACACCTCTCTGGGCTGAGAGCCAGCCGAGCTAACCCAGATATAGTGACTCTGGGTATCCAACACCTGTGGAGAGGACTTTTCATAGTGGACTGGGCTGCTAGGAACAAGGGGAAGAGGTAGAGATAACTGAGAGCCTCAAAGGACAAAGGCTGAAGAGGCACCAGCAAGCAAGAGAGCAAGAACAGGGGCCAGGGAGAGGAAGAGCAGAGAGCAGTTTCCAACAGGTATTTACCCATATCGTTGGTACCAAATGTAAGTGCGTAACTTACTCGTATGGTTCGTACCAAGAGTAAGTGCGTTACCTACCCATATGGTTGGTACCAAGGGTAAGTGCGTAACTTACCCATATGGACAGTACCAAGAGTAAGTGCGTTAATTACCCATATGGTTGGTACAACGAGGAAGTGCGTTACTTAGCCATATAGTTGGTACCAAGAGTAAGTGCGTTTCTTACGCATATGCTTGATACCAAGAGCAAGTGCGTAACTTACCCATATGGTTGGTAGAAAGACTAAGTGCATAACTTACCCATATGGTTGGTACCAAGAGTAAGTGCGTAACTTACACATATGGTTGGTACCAAGAGTTAGTGCGGTAATTACCCATATGGTTGGTACAAAGAGTAAGTGCGTAACTTACCCATATGGACGGTACCAAGAATAAGTGCGGGAATTATCCATATGGTTGGTACAAAGAGTAAGTGCGTAACTTTCCCATATGGTTGGTACCAAAAGTAAGTCCGTCACTTACCCATGTGGCTGGTACCAAGAGTAGGTGCGTCACTTACCCATATGGTTGGTACCAAAAGTAGGTGTGTTACTGACCCATATGGTGGGTACCAAGGGTAAGTGTGTAACTTTCCCATATGGTTGGTACTAAGAGTAATTGCGTTAATTTCCCATATGGTTGGTACCAAGTGTAGCAGGGCAGCTGGTCGACAGCCAGCACAGCATGGTCGAACGCCTGCCAGCGTTGCATAGAGGAGCCGCGCCAACACTGCAGAGAAGCGGCCTGCCAACAGAGCAGGTCGACGGCGTGGCAACGCTGCAGCAAAGTGGCTGTCCAGCGTTGCACCCGTAGATGACATCAATGTGTGCGCTCGCAGGTGCGCACAGACGATTGGCCCAACATTCACCGTCACGTGCTCGTCAGCTGTTGACTGCGCCTGACGAGCCACATCGACTTCGGGATACCAGCCCAAAGTAGCCTTCGCCATCGCAACCTCGACGACGTTCGCGTGCCTCCCTTGAACTCTCCAAGCAGGTTACCTGGTCGACCCGGTCGACCACCCAGTGCTCTGGTCGATGACCTCCCTCGTCGACCATAGCTCCCGTAGAAGACTACCATGGTCGACGGACTCCTCCGTCGACCAGCACGATCTGCTGCTCCCGTCGAACTCAATCCGACGACGGCTTCTCAACAGTCCGCGCAGGTCGACGGACTGCTCCGTCGACCTCCCCTGTCGACTAGGCCGCCGGCTACCCTCGACGGCGGCATTGCAGTGGTCGCCTGCAGGTCGACAGCCCCGTCGACCAGCACACGTCGAACTCTGCACAGCAGTCAACCACACCACCAGTGCGCCCGACCAGTAATTATCTATATGGTTGGTACCAAGAGTAAGTGCGTAACTTACCCATATGGTTGGTACCAAGAGTAGGTGCGTTACTGTCCCATATGGTTGGTACCAAGGGTAAGTGCGTCACTTACCCATATGGTTGGTACCAAGATGAAGTGTGGTAATTACCCATGTGGTTGGTAGAAAGAGTAAGTACGTACTTACCCATATGGTTGGTACAAAGAGTAAGTGCGTTACTTATCCATATGGTTGGTACCAAGGCTAAGTGCGTAACTTACCCATATGGACGGTACCAAGCGTAAGTGCGGTAATTACCCATATGGTTGGTACAACGAGGAAGTGGGTTCTCTACCCATATGCTTGGTACCCAAAATAAGTGCGTCTCTTACTCATATGTCTGATACTAAGATTACGTGCGGAACTTACCCGTATGGTTGGTACAAAGTGTGAGTGTGTACTTACCCATATGGTTGGTACAAAGAGTAACTGCGCTACTTACCCATATGGTTGGTACCAAGGGTAAGTGCGTAACGTACGCATATGGGCGGTACCAAGTGTAAGTGCGGTAATTACCTATATGGTTGGTACAACGAGGAAGTGCGCTCTTTACCCATATGCTTGGTACCAAGAGTAAATGCGTCTCTTACTCATATGCTTGATACCAAGAGCAAGTGCGTAACTTACCCGTATGGTTGGTACAAAAAGTAAGTGCGTAACTTACCCATATGGTTGGTACTAAGAGTACGTGCGTAACTTACCCATATGGTTGGTAC